ATACTCCGAGATCTGTTGTTAAAGAAAGCTGAGTATTCATTAAGTATTCGTAGTTTTAACATAAAATAGTATTATCAAATCATAGATTTCTTACCTAATAAAATAAAATAAAAAGATAGATCAGCATACATTCAATTTACATTTTTTCGCGTTCAATTTCACTATTATAATTTAAAGGAAGGGGAAAAAGGAAGTGCACTGAAGTATAAACTTTTAAGAATTTATTATTCAAAAATAATGGCACTACCACCGTGGATTCTACTATGGATACCGCCATGGATAACGCCACCGCCGAAGAGACCGCCTCCGTGGACGCCACCGAAACTTCCAGGAAGGAATCTATTGGATCCTTGTCCACTTCTTCGGTTTACGCCGGCTGAGACGGCCACCAGGAGGCAACACACAATCATGGCTTTGATGCTCTGCAAGAAAAGATGAGGGGATTCTCCATCATGACTAATAGTTGCTAAAGTAAAATCTTGTTTATAATCAACCAAGTTCACAACTGGATATGGGCATCTAAATGCCTCTATAAATTGTCGAACTAAATATTGTAACGCATCTTGCAAATAGCACTCACATTCATTGTTGGTTAGAAGCTAACTGTGTAATATGAAGAGTACAACGTCGCTTATATACAGTATATATATACAGCATATATATACAGTGTATATACAGTATATATACAGTGTATATATGCAGTATATATATACAGTATATATACAGTATATATGCCTATATACAGTATATACACACGTCGCTCCAACCTCTCCGCCTCAGCAGTTACCCAAGCCAGCGGCACTTCCTGGTATCGCGTACGGTTTTCCATTTCGCTTTTTGCGAAATACTTTGATTCCACTTTTTTTTATTTTCATTGATGACAAAGATGAAAATGACAGTGATAAAATGCAAAGATGGAAAGCAAAAAAGTCAGCTAACAGAAGATTCTGCTTTTCATTAGATGATGCGAGTCTGCAGAATTTCTTACCATTAAAATTAAGCTTTGATGGTCAGCTATACAAAACTGGCATTTGAAACAGAAAGGCTGATTGTCAGTATTTACCTGTATTTCTACTAAAATCGCTATCTAAATAGTCGCCTCCCTCAGTCATGAGGAAGAACTCCCAAGCAATCTCAATTATCACTTAGTTTATTCTATACGTATAGATTCAGTTCGGTCTTAATTCTGTACAGAGAATGAAAATAATACATGCCAGCGGAAGAAAAACGGAAGCACAGTTCTTGACACTGGCAACACTCCATGCGGTGGCTACCTGACATGTATTTTCCTCTGTGACGTCATCAGCCATGTGCTCAGTGACGCTGCATTCCAGAACCCTGTTTAAGTTCCCTCTCCCCCCCCCCTTCTTTCTTTGCTGCTTTCTCACTGTTTTTTTATATAGATAATTAGCTAATAATTAATTAATTAGTAAATAATATATTATAACGGAAGGAAGGGAAGGGGATGGAAGCAGAACGGAGAGAGGAAGGGAGATAAAGTGGGGAAAGGGACAGAGGGAAGAAAGGAGGAAATGAAAGAAGGGGCAGGTTACAGGCAGGATGGATGGATGAAGGCAGGCAGGGAAGAAGTGAGCGCATGTTTATACGAATATGTAAACCTGTGTTTTCACAAAATCATTAATAATTTTGAAGACTAATAACTAGAAGTGGGAAAGTCTTAACCAAAGGAATCTGCATTGAAATAAGTTTCTTTAATATGATGTATTTTACCCCATTTACAATAGGAAAAAGCAGGCGTTTATGGCTGGTTGAGATCAATGTACTTCTACATTCAATTTGATTATAATCTAGACGCAGGAATTAAACAAATACAAGGACATATCAATATATAAAGATTTATTATCAAAGAATAAATATCTAGAAATCACAGATTTTCTATCTTCCGTTATCAACCGGAAAACCGGAGTCCTTACTAGCGATAACCACCTTTAAAATGGGAGGTGATTGTTGAAAAATGAAGGTGGTTTGCATACGTGTTCTCCCAAACACCTGTCGAAGCAACACTTATCGAGGCCGGCACACTTGTAGTCGTTGGAACAGGTAGTGGGAGGACCATGGAAACGTGGGCATGTTGGACGGACTTGAGGGCAAGTGAGTGGCTTGGTACCAACAGGTGTCTCTGGTTCATGTGCCGTCTCGCAGCAGTAGGCCTGACCCTCCGGAGTCTTGCACCAATATCTACACTGGCTTGGGCCATTGGAGATTCCACTGCCGATGATACCACTACCACCACCATGGATTCCACCACCATTAAAACCGCCGCCGAAGAGACCACCTCCATGGACGCCACCGAAGCCTCCAGGAAGGAATCTGTTGGATCCTTGTCCACCTCTCCTTCGGTCTACACCGGCCGAGACGGCCACCAGAAGGCAACACACAATCACGGCTTTGATGCTCTGCAAGAGAGGACACGGAAATTATACATCATGATAATATTAGTTAACTGTTGTACAATTTGAAAATACATAATTTGTTGTCTAGTTCACAATAGAATATGAACAAAATGTCTCTTAAAACGGCCAAATACATATACTATAACATATACTAAAGTGCATCTTGCAACGAATACTCACAGTCATTGCTGGTTAAAGGTTAGCTGTGGGATGTGGAGAGTGGAAGTTGCAACGTCGCTTATATACAGGAACTGGTG